CTAGGCTGTACCTAACTTTTCTTTGCCTTAACCACATCCTGGAAATCCACTCAAACCAGTACAGTCGAGAATCAGAATTGACCTTATTTTTTTTTTTTACCAATTTCATATCAATTCTTTTCTTTTATTACCTAATCAGCAATGTAAAAAATAATTAGTTTAAAATATTCACATGCAAAATTTTTAGTTGTTTATGTCAGACATGGAGCTAAATCCAGTCCCTGATTCCTGTCATTCTTTCTTGACTGGAATAGACTGTCCTGTTTTTCTCTTGTCCAGTGTTGACAGAGGCTATAGATGGGATTTACACCTTTCAAATTCTTAGCCTAAAATAAATACATTTATAAGAGCATAGCTTCTTCTTGATATATATGTGTCAACAACAAATACATCTGCACATTTAAACAAACATAAATCTTCACTATGTCACAAATCCTTAAATATCAATTATCTATGTGAAGCAATGTGCAATATATAACAATTTGTCACGACTGTGAGAAATGATCTTGTAAGTCTGTTAACAAAGTAGCTCCTTTGTAAGTTGGTTAAGAATGTGGGCTTTAGAGTTAAGCAGACCTGTTTAAGATCCAGTATATCACTTGCTTGCCAATGTTTTTCAACATGTTATCTGGCTAACAAAATGGAGCTCAGCATGGATTTGGAGAAGAGCAAATATGCACTATTTGTTACACATGCATCAGCACTTTTGGATGCCTCCTTTTTCTTACGTTGCTGTCTAAAGTAGCATAGAAATTGCTATTAGAAATCACCTGCTTCACTCTCTCACTCTCCTGGGAATTTCTTAGTGATTTCATAGTGATGTATACTTACCTTTTTATTCTGTACATGACCAATCAAATAAATGTATATTGAAAGTTGAGTGGTCCAGAGTTAGGCATAAAAGCATTTTATAAATCTAAAGCACCATTGTGTTATTAGGCCACAAGTAGAATTTGAGAGTCCACTCAGACATTTATAGGACTTGACTGAACCCAAAACACATTCTGCAGATCCAATCTACATCCATTTGTAGCTAAATGAGTCATTAGCCCTTGATAACCCTGTGTTCTCTGTCTAAGTCAGGAAAAATAAATGACCTCCTTTACTGAGGTGGGTCCTTATTAATTATCATAAACAATGGCTTTTAGATTTACTTACTGTGCTCATTGTTTATGTATATATTAATTTATATGTATATATATATGATAAATACATACACAAATGAAATATCAGAAATATCTGAATCGTTGAACGTACTGAATAGAAATAATAATAGAACAAAATACATTTTGTCAACAGAATTTAGACAAATAATAAACAATATGCACAAAAAAGTATGCTATAATATGAGTATATAAAGACTAATAGTAACAAATAAATTGTGAACTGAGAAAGGGGTTGCAGTGACCAGGACAACGACATTTTATGAAGAATCAGCTGCTGGGGTGTGACTTACAAGTAAACACAAAGAATATCAGAAAAGAAGTTTACGATGTAACCATAGACAAGAAGTAGCGTAGGTACATGGTATGTTGCAGAGTTTGAAAGGATGGCATCTGTCCTGGCTGTATGAAAGTATTCATTTAGTTTGTTCTGTAGAAGCTAGAGTGGTCATACAATTTCCCTTAGCTGCATGCATGATTATACAGATTGAAGGCTATTTGCCAGCCTTCCTTACACATGGGCTGGAAGACTGGAAGTAATATATGTTTCCTAGATCATAACAGTGTAGGCTGGGAAAGACGGCAGAAGAGAAGACTATCAGGCTGACACTCTTGGGACTATTTACACACACACAAACACACAAACACACAAACACACACACACACACACACACACTTCCTAAAATATAAAAGCTCTTTTATTTCATTTTGCCAGTTAGTGTTCTGAACTTTCTAACCTAAGACATCAGCCTATGGACTGAGCCATTGCTTTCTTATAACCACTGTGACAGGAACACATCTTAGGACAGCTAATGACTGAGTTATAAGTCCCGAAATGAGTCATAAATGATACATATGCTACTCAGACAGTTCTGTCTTCCTTAAAATAAGGACCCTCTGGGTTAATGTCATTTGGCAGGACCATGTTGACTAAGGCTAAGACTGGGGTCTGCAGGATTTACAGGAAAGCATGAAGAAGGCATTTCTGAGACAGTACTAATAGAACTGCAGTAAAGAGAAAGACAGAGAGTAATACATGCCATCAGTCATAACTTTGTATGATTTGGATTTATTCTGGTTAAGTAGGAGGGATGCAATTAGATAGATAAAAGTGTCACTCTGAAGGAAGGAGACTTTGAAGGACAATTGTGCCTGGAGATAGTGAATCACATACAGGAGAATCTGACTTTCTCACTGGGGGTATAAGCTGAAACTCAACCACAGGCTGAAACAGACACAGTGTAACCAATTGAAGAGCAAGGAATCAGAGTGCTGCATTGGTATGCAGGAAATCAATAGTCTAAGTTGCTCTTCCTTGTTGGTAAAATGGAACTAATGATGCGTATAAAGTGAAAAGTCAGCATAGAGAACAGGAAATTTGTATCTGGTACATTGCAGGCTGTGCTTGCCGCTTTTGAGGCTCCCGAGAGTGCACAGACATCTGCAATTATCATATTAAAACAGAAAATAAAAGAATATTCAAGGTGATGTTGGAGATTCTTCTGTATAGGTTTCTGGGATTTGCTTGGATGATAACTCTGTTCACAGTAAGGGAAAATGCACTTTTAAATCACAGGATGACAAGAACGTGGGTGACTGAAGCAACATGGCAGCTGGCAGTATTTTCTTTTAAAAGGAGGCGGGCTCTTTTGTCATGGAAGAGTCAGTAGCTTATTTATTTCTCATTTCTTTACCTCCTTTGACACATCAGTAGAAATAGGAGTTCAGACAAAGAGAAGCTGTTGTAGCATCCTGTTTAAGATTCTCTTCATGAGATTTGGTCCTCAGCCCATTTTCTGTCAGACTTCCTGAAATGGGAAAGCAATGCATAAAAATTCTCAGGCTCCACAGTGTATTCTCTGAGGCGGCAGACTGGAATTTACAGCTGCCAGTAGACTTCTCCATCTGCATGTCCTACAGGCATCCCCAAGTCTGTACATCTCAAACCAAATGAATTACCCATCCACACTCTCTCCTCCAGCCTTCTATCTGGGTTAACACTATTGCCAACTTACCAGGTACAAAATGTAGAAATATTGGTTCTTTTCTCTTCTACCATGAACCCCAATGACAATCTGTGGCTGCCTTGCAGATTCACTCAATAGTAGTCTAGTCTGTTTTATATACCCTCTTCCTTGACTTTCAGTTTCCTGGTGAGGATCTTTCTTCCTCTACACAAGCCCAGGAAAAAGTCTGTCTGCTCTTTACCCAGAGTTCTTGAACCTCCAGAGGTCTCCATTTCCTTAGACCAGAGTAAAGCATTCCTTGTCCTCAGGGACTGGCACAATGGCCGCACCTGTTCCTCTAAACCCCATCCCTCTTGCTTGGATAAAACAGTGGAAGTTCTGAGTCATGCATGCGTCACTTCCTTTTCTGAAAACACTCCAGCATCTCAACCCAGGAATCCTCAGAACGAAGCCTCAAATCCACATTTCACCGACTTCCTTTTCCCGGGTCTTCATTCCAGCATTCTGTACCATGCAGCCACTCATGGCGATCGCAGGTCATATCCTCAAAACGTTGTTTGTTTATTTAAATCTCAGAGCCTTGGCTCACGGAATGTTGCCACGAGCACGGAAAACTCTGTTCCTCCTTCCGTTCTGCTCAAGGATCATTTCCCGGGTGGAACTGCCTCCAGGTTCTTTCCTCCAATCCTTTCTCAGTAGGGCCACACTAACTGTGCACTCCTTTATTTGCGTTTCCTAGTGTTATCACAAACACCTCCAACTCAGATTTTATAAGCTGTATAACAGACATCATCTCTAATTGCCTTCTCAGAGTCTCAGGGGTGCTTTGAATTGCCTGTTAACCAATCTAAAAATAATCTCTTAAATTTTTTTTGCTTTAAAACTTATGATTTTACTCCCCCCCCAAAAAAAAGCTTTTAAAGGTTCCCAAAGACATAGTTAACAGTTTTCCCCCACTGTACCCAAACAGAGAACTCCCTCAACTCTACAGCATTAAATTGCACTTTGTAAAGTTCCTTGCGGTTTTATTATTCCAGGTGCACTGCTACCATAAGAGGCCTTTGTGGACCATGGCTATAAATGTCATTTGCTCCCATTTAGCAAATGTATTATATAGAAGACGATTGTCTAAATTTATGGTGACTATTCTAGAGGGTACTAAATCAGATAATATATCAAAATACCTATTTTGAAAAGTCAATCCCTATAATTTGAAGACTGGTGTTTTCCCCTATATAAGCTCAATATGATATAGGCATGTTATATGACTGTGAGATCCATCAAAAGAGATGTAAGCAAACTTGACAGCTATCTAAACAAAGCAAATAAAACGCAAAGTTTTGTCGATTACTTGGTTATCATAGGTGAAATCTGAGGAAGTGATTTATTGACAGTTCATCCTATATAGCCCCATATTCTTTCTCTCCCTTCATCTCTTTCCCTCTAAAGAACAAGAGTCTCTCTTCACTGTCCAGGCTTGCCTTGAACTCTGGGGCTTAAGTGATCTTCCAGCTTCTCCCCTCCAAGAAAAGACTACAGCATATAGCAATTCTCCAAGTCTTTTTCTTTTATAAATTAACCACTTGAAGGTGCCATCAGTGGTGCACTTTAACTTGAACTCAATACTTCAGGCATCCATGAAGATGATGGTGGTATGCCGGAGGATCTTGATACACATGTCTTGGAACTGTGGGCTGCATCATTTCGAATCATGGAGGCCTCTCCCTGTATGCCTGCTCTTCTCATTTGCATCCTCTCCCTTGCTATAAAAGTGATTGTTTGTATAAGTGAGTGAGTGTATGTATAAGTGGGCACCCTTTCCAGAACCACATAGGGAAAACTTGCCTTGAAAGTAAAGAGGCACAAAACATCATGATCTAGAAAATATTTATTGGCACCTGTATTAATTTTCTTTCCATAATCCAAGAAATGAACAGAATGCACAAGATACAGTAAAATGCACTTTTCCCGTTTCAAATAAATATCTTCTACTCTTGTAAAAAAAAATTAGTATTCTGTATAATTTGCTACAGTATATTAATTGATGAAATAAAGCAAGGATACTCTCTGGTTAGACCACCACTTATTTTAGAGATTCCCATGAGCATCTCTGCAGAGAATGTTGTTTCTTTGTAAAAATTACATTGACTTCAAGTTGTTGGTTCTTGTTTGCAAAAGAAAAACATAAGCTCTTTGACTAAGTGTTTACTGGGAGGAAAAAAAGCATCTGAATTTGTGCTGAATCAACTATGTGTAAATTCTGTAGTTAATACTTCCTGCAGCCCGAGTTACAATGATTCTTATGTATCACACTGGTAATTTCCAAAATTAGTGGTTAACAACTTAAATTAACAGTTATGGATATAGTACAGAACCAAGACAGAATTTAAAAGCTCTGTTGTTGGAAGAGACAAAAGTAATGGTGCTATGTAAGACAATTTTGTCATTTTCAAATATTGTTATTCATAACATTTTAAGAACTGAAATCTACTGAATTATACAGACACAACACAGACTTATATACATATACATCCCTGATAAGTTTAAGACAACGTGTTAGCTCTTACAAGTGTTATTAATAAGATTATTTTAGTAACCAACAAAAATCATGTTTAGGTAGTCACCAGTCTTCAAAGGTTTTCATATTTAATCAAATCATCATCAAAACAATACATCATCAGGTAATAAAGGTCTTTAGCACTAAAAAATACCTATGTTAGCAGTCAGTGGATAGTTAACAGGCTAGCTAGAGGAGTTAGTTAACCTTCATACCAGCTCCAGTGCCACCATGATGGCTCATTTCCGTGAATGGATGCAGAAAGGCTGGTCAAACTGTATTACTTCAAAACATAATTGAGCTCAGAAAAGAAATGAAAGAAAGAAAACATACACAGTTGTTATGAACTCTGGGTTCAGCTTTTTGAAGGGCAACAATTATTGTCTGTGTATTATTATATGGAACCTTCATTTTAAAGGGTAGAGAAATTATGTGTTTAGACATTCCTTTTCGGAATGTTAATATGTCTAAAAATTTCTGAAATAGATAACTGTGTATGCCAAAACTCACTAGTCTCACAGGTTTGTGATTTCCTACTTTGACATTCTTCATAATTCTTCCATCTCAAAGTGTGTATTGAAGCTGTTCGCCATTGACGTATGCTCAAAGATCCTTGAAAGACTTGGCTTTAACAGTTCCACAGAGTGACATGACAAGTGCTGAGACGTATCATTTTTCAGAGATAGCATTTGGTCTGTCCCAGGCTCCCTTCTATCATAATACAGAGCCCAGAGCAGAGTAATGGTGAGAATCATGGCAAGGATTTGTGTCACACCAATGGAGATCCCCAGAAACCTTAGTACTTGCAATTGTTTGGTTCCTCTCAAAAAGGAATACATTTTCTTCCCACAACCCTGTAAAAAAAGAAAGAAAGAAAGAAAGAAAGAAAGAAAGAAAGAAAGAAAGAAAGAAAGAGAGAAAGAGAGAAAGAAAGAAGGAAGGAAAGAGAGAGAGAGAGAGAGAGAGAGAGAGAGAGAGAGAGAGAGGAGAAAGAAAGAACATAATCAGTGTTAAATTGTCAAAAACAGTGATTTTAATTTTAAAAAAGACATCAATCTAATCAGTGGGCTAAATTTAGGAATTTTAAGATACTGACCCTTAACTAAGGTCTTGTACACACCCTGAAAAGCCCTGATAGCTCATTATTCTGTCCAGCATCCTTCTTTTATTTTCCACACACAGACACTGGTATAAAACCCAGTGTCTAGAGCACAACTTATTAAATAGTTTGTAATGATGACAGCTTTTCACTTGAGTAACTTAATATAACCTTGGGCACATAGGTTTGTTTAATAGCTATGCCAATAAAATATTTACTCATAATAAATCATAAATGTATTTTAAAACAGTTCTTTGAGACTAGAGAGGTATCTCAGCTGTTAAGAGCACTTGCTTCACAGTTAAGTCCAGGGTTCGATCCAAGCACCTATGAAACAAGCCAGGCATCTTGTGCATCCCTGTAACTCCAAGTTCAAAGATGTGGAGACAGGATGATTGATGGAGTTGCTGGTTTCCAGGTGGCCCCAGGTTCAGAGAGAGACCCTGTCTAAACAAATAGTCAGGAGGTGACAGAGGAGGGCATCAGACATGTTCTTCTGGTTTTTGAACTTGAGCAAAGGCTAGTGTGACTGCAGACACTCATGAGGATTCACATACAGATACAGACACAGACACAGACACAGACATAGACAGACAGACACACACACACACACACATAAATATTTTTAAATTTAGTATGCATATAAATTTACCATTTATGAAAGGGCAAAGCAATTTGCATAATGATAAAAAGAGGTGTGCTTGTAGCTTTCTACATTAAAATTTGACTCTTAGTTCAGTATTTCATATTGCAATGTTTGATCCTATTATCGAGTGTTTCAAAGTTGATCAATATTTTCATTTTATACTCTCAATGCCAATGATACTTACTTGAATGAAGTACATAGTGGCCAGGAGTATGTTTAGGTCCAGGTGAGAAACTGTTAGAAATTCTACTCTAATCCCAAGTCAACATTCATTTAATAATTTTTAGTAAGCTAAAAAAAAATCAGTAACTAAACCACCAGTTTTAAAGACCAAATTCTTACACAATATAGTATACATTAGTATAATTTTTACATAGTATGGAATGATGATAGAAAAATAGTATGTTTTCAGAGTAAGATCTTATGTTTCAACTGAGGGATGTGGTGTTGTACCCCTTTAATCCCAGAACTCAAGAGGCAGAGGCATATGGATGTCTGTCTGTGTGTTCAAGGCCAGCCCGGTCTACAAAACACATTCCAGAACAGCTGTGGTTACTACATAGAGAAAACATGTCTTGAAAATAAAAGCAAGGTTTCTATAAATATGCACAGTTCTGTTTATGCAGTTAAAAACACTGTAATGTATGACAATCACGTGTCTGAGCTGACCTGTTTCAGGCAATGTTGTTGGCTCTGTATGCCCTGAACAAACACAAGTGCAGTGCAAATATACACGTGTGCACCGAACCACAGATGCAGTGAATCCTGAGAAGTGACATGGACAGATGCTACCAGAAATACCTAGGATCCATTATGGGTTTGACTTCAAACATCGTGGCACATTTAGAGACCTTTTACTGTTACCAAATTTTTCATAACACCCCATGTGGGATCGTGAGCCACAGTTTAAGAAACTATGATCTAAAGAAAGTTGGCAAACGTTTTGCTGTGTGTGTAAAGGGCTACATAGAGAGTATTTTAGGCTTGGCGGCCTATACCTTCTAGATTGCAGCTTCACATTTTCTCCAGTGTGATACAAAAACAGACACTGACAATGGCTAATGAATGAAGATGGGTGTTGCTATGAAGTTCCATGCACAGAAATGCTCCAGGCCATATTTAGCTAAAGGCTGTAGTCTGGTGATTAATGAGCTAGATATAGCCAAATTATTTCTATTATTATCCTTATTGTTGTTGTTCTTGCTATTGTTTTTGTTTGGGGCATTGCTGAGTTGTAGTAATGCCTCACTTAGTAAGAGACTACCCCCTACTTCCAAATCTACAGCATCTCTTCAGTCTGCTACTAAACATGCTGATGCAAGAGATAAACTTGTATTCATCACTACCTCTGAATACTGCACAAGGAGAGTACTTATGAGTGACTTACTGTCATGCTGTAACATCTATCCTATCTGAAGGATCTGAAACATATATATGATATTCCCATATAGGCCATGGATACTTGAGAAAAAATTAACAAGGTCATTGTCAGTGATAAGTTTTATGAAAAGAGTCTAATGCGATTCTACAGCATATAAGAGAAGAAAATTCTAAAGAAAAATACGATAAACAGAAGGAGGAGGAGGAAAGCTATGCCTTGTAGCTATGGAGACAGGCATTCAGAAAGCAACTGGGAATTATATTGATTTGGGAACATATCAATAGTAGGTTATCTATAGCCCATGACCTTGTTTGCTCTCATTGCTCACCAAAGGTGCTTTTTGCAGCAGAAGGAAACCCAGAAATCCAAAACTGGTCAAAATACAAGTAACAATTGACCGTAGAGTGCTCATCCCCTACTGATGCAGCTGTAACACAAGCCTTCCACCTAAGGCTCAGAAAACATCCCAGAAGTGATATAGAAAGATTTTAAGATTCAGAGGAACAGCATATAAGTTACAAAATAGTGTCATCTATATATATTACAGGGAGCTGCATCTATGAAATCGCAACAATACGGTACCTAAAAACACCGGCATAATGGCAATGCCAGTTGACATTCCAACCTGTATGGGAGAAATTTCATAAAGCCCTACTCTTAAATAAGGAGCTACATCAATTAACTGCTTTTAAGAGAGAAGAGAATCAGTCTGCCCCTAAGGACAGGCTTCAGTGGGTTCTCCAACCACAAGTGGTCAGCCCTAAACAAATGTACATATGGGTCACGCTACATGGTTGTGTTATATTTATACATACATATTGTTATATAGCAAGACTAATTAAAGAAGAAGCTAGATGATTGGATGGAGTGGGGAGAGGGGAATGGGAAGACTTGAAGGTATGTGAGTGTCGGCGGGGGGAAGTGACTTAAACACAGTACTCAGTCATGAATAAAGTAGAAGTAGGAAAAATTGTGACAAAGAAAACTGGAGTAAAAAAAAAAAACAGAGAAAAGGTATTGTGACTAAGGGCTGCACTGTCAACTTTTAGAGGAATCATTGAGCAGTTGTATTGTCTTTAGGGACCTGTGTCCACAGCAAGCACACAGTTTAGAAATAATCTACTCTGCTACAGAAACCTAATTTTAAATTAAGGTGCCTAACTGAGAAATTATTTTATAACATACTCAGAAGCTTTTGGATTCCAGTAGAAGTGACTTAGTGTTTACCCTCTAAAGATAGCCACTGGGATAAAAGGAAATCCATAAATATTGAAATTACTGCCTCCATGTCTGCTTTGACAGAGCCCACAAAGAATTCATATATCAATGAAGACTAGACACGGAATCGGTGATCATTTCATAGATCTTATTAGAAGGAAGGAAGTTCATCCATTTGAAAAAAAACAAACAAACAAAAGCAACAGCAACAAAAAAAAAACCCACTAGTTGGTAATTTTACTCCAGTAATACATAACTTCAAGACAATAAGAAATCCTATAAGAGTGATCAGACACTCTGTAGTAACTGCCCTTTCCTGGTAATAAAAAGTTAAAAGAAAAATAGAGTAAAGGGTTGCCAGTCTTACCAGAAGTAAGTGTAATGTGCTTTAGAACTCATAACATGGGCTGGAGAGATGGCTCAGTGGTGAAGAGCACTAACTCCTCTTCCAGAGGTCCTGAGTTCAATTCCCAGCAACCACATGGTGGCTCCCATTACAGATGGTTATCTGTAATGAGATTCAAGACCCTCTTCTGGTGTGTCTGAACACAACTACACTGTACTTATATGTATAAAAATGAATCTTAAAAAAAAACAACATTGAACATTGACCTGTAGTCACACCTCTGTCTTTCCTACCATAGCAAGAAAGATGAACACATACACACTGACATGCTCAAGTGATCTGTAGAAAACCAAAATACAAACCACTAAAGCAATTTTACCAAGTTCAACAAGCTTTGAAACCATTCCACTCAGATATTTATCAGAGTCTATTCATCTTTAATGTGCTCATGTAGTACAGTGTAGTACTGTTGCTAAGGTCGTGAACTAAAGACTCACTACTCTCATCTTGAAACAGATAACCAATGCCACTTGTTTGGGACATTAGGGGTGCAGATCCTGATCTCTGTGTTGTCCCATAGGCTAGAAAGCTCGAATCTACATCCAGATGGAAAAACTGATGGCCAGCAGATAGAAGTGAAGTTGCAACACTTTGTAAGATTATGAAAAATCCCCGAAGTATAGCATTACATCACCAACAAATACTGACGTTTTAAGCCTTGCCTATCAGTGGTTTTTTAGGAAAGTGAAATCACTATCCAAAATGTCTACCTGCTATGGAGAGGTTAGACCACTAGCCTTCTGACAGAGTAGACAGTCTATGTAATTTAGAAATAGTACTTTTTAATAATTACATGTAAATGCAAAGCTTTAGTTTCAGACATGTGGAATGTTACTATAGATAGACACCTCTTTTAACCTTATTGCTGAAAATATGTATCATATTTTCCTATCAGTTTCTCAGGAAATGAACATAATACACCCTTCGGTGGTTTCAGGCTGGTGATCTTTGTCTGCAGTATTGAGGTATAAATATGGGTCATTAACACATATGGAAAATTAGTATAGACATTCTAATATGTAGTTAATGATAAACTTTAGAATGAAAGGTGAACCACTCAAGGATCCACATTTTCAATTAAATGAGAAAAGTAAGTTCAAAAGA